TTTACCCTCGAGGGACTCCCCGTGGCAGCAGTGTCAGGGCTGGGGCAGGAGGGGTGGCAGGGTGTCTGGGCGGCTTGGGGCAGAGGTGTTGAGACCTCTGGAAGCTTCGCCACTTCCTCCCGCTCCGATGCAATTCCCCTTTGATGCTGTTCTCTTAACAGGCCTGTATCTGGCCTGCTTCTCTGCCTGTGCCCACCCCCTCCCTCCATCTGGAGCACCCCCTCCCCTGCGGCCCCTCTCGGCTTCCCTCCCTCTCCCTCTTCCAGGGCGCATTCCTGATCCCCCTGAGAGACCTTCGAGTCCACGTAGCACCATAAAGGCCTTTTGAGACCCTTATCACAGGCCCACCCTCCAGGACACTCATCCGGAAGGTCCCTTGGAGTTTGTTTCGCAGCTGGGAGAACCAAAGAGGAATAAGTGGGTTAATCCCTGGTGAGGAAAGCACCTCAAAAATGTCCCTGGTCTCCTCCGTCTCTTGCAAGTTAGGCTGAGAGATGCACTCATCCCTCCCGGCCCCAGTTCCTACGCCGTGTCACCAACCTGCCTTTCCGTCCTGTACTCACTCAGTCAAGGCTCGTTGCGAGCCGCTGTATGGCAGGCACTGTGCTTGGCGCTGGGGACACACACGATGGTAAAGAAAGCAGACATGCTCCTGTCGCCACGGAGTTTACTGTCCCGGTGTCACATCCAGGCCATCTTCCCCACTAGGGTTCCCTGCTGTTTCCCCCATTTATCTCTGCACCTTTGCTCCGTGCTCCCCTCATGTGAAATGCCCACCCCTCCTCTTGGTATGAGTCCTCCCACCTGCCCGGCCCAGCTCACTGGCTGCAGCCTCCTTGTGGCCTCCAAGGTGGCCAACCTCTCCCCGCACCCAGGCCCTGCAGCCCTTTACCTCACCTGCACATTCCCCTGTGAGGCCAGGCCTTGTTTCTCCATGCTCACTTCCTGCGAACTCCCCCAAGGGCAAGGGTGACATCTGGCCTCTGCCCGCCCCATAGACCCTGGCAAAGTGCTGGGCACATGGCAGGGGCTCCGTGACACATTTGCTGCTCTGTTCCCCGTCCCCAGCCAGGCAGGCTGCGCCAGCCCAGAGCTAGTCCAGAACCCTCTGCTCCTGTTCTTGTAACCTGTTCCCTAGAAGAGACAGGGGAACTTGGGTTCTTCCAGAGCAAAGTTCTGAGTCTGTGGCAAAACAAGGGAAACTCAAAACCCACTCAGGGGGTTTCCCCAGCAGTGGGTGCTGGGGCGGCCTCACTGTTAATTGCTAATCATTGTCGTAACAGTTTACTGTTGTCCAACACAGAAGAGCCCCTGTGGGAGGCGGAGTGTCCACAAGACAGGGGGCAGAAGCCACTAGGCGGAGGGCATGGGGAGCAGAGAGGATGCAGAGACTTCCATCCAGGAGGGGCTGCATCAGCAGACATGCCCCCTCTGCGTCCTCCAGGACACAGGCCCTCCCTGAGCACCTCTGGGCTTTTGTGTTTCCTTTCTGTCTCCAGGCCAGAGCTTCCCCTCCCAGCCAGGGTGGCTGAGGGCACCAGCACCCCTTCCCCAGCTGGGCCTGTTCCCTTCTGACTCAGCAGGAGGGGGGCTGCCGGGCACTCCTCTGTGGGAGGTACAGGTTACCCCCTCATCTGTAGGAAGCTGGCGCCAAAGATGTACACAGACAGGAAGATGCCACTCCCCTCCCCTCTGCTCCACTGCATGTGCAAATGGAAACCTGCCCCGGGGATAGAAGGAACGGCCAGCAGGACAGGCTGGGGGCAGAAAACCCTCCTGGGCTGTGGCTTGAGGAGTGGGTGGGGTTAGGGGTCTCTGGCAGGCGATGTGACCTTAAGAGAAGCAGACAAATTGTCCTCCACTAAGGGAGGACCCCATCTTTCTCAGAACTACAGTCTTGGTGGGGCCTCCTGAGTCCCCCTACAGGAAATGAAACTGAGGTCCAGAGAGGGTCTGCGAGCTTCCTGAGGTCACACAGCAAGGACACGACAGAGCATTCCACCCACAGGTTGGTTCTACCATGGACAGGAGGACTCCCCCAACCAGGAACTGAAGCAGCCCAGCCTGTGGGAGGTGGCCCTGGGGGAGGAGGAAGAGCACGTGGCCTCCTCCTATGATCTAGTCCAGTGTCATGGTTTCCTTTCACAGGTGAGCCGCGAGGGCTGATGAGGTTATAGTCTGAGCACTGTTCCAGGTTTTAACAAACAGTGCCTGATTTTAACCTACCCTACAAAGCTGAAGTAATCAAAACAGTATGGTACTGCACAAAAACACATAGATCAATAGAACAGAATAGAGAGCCCAGAAATAAGCCCACACTTATATGGGCAATTAATCTGCAACAAAGGAGGTAAGAATACACAATGGGGAAAAGACAGCCTCTTCAATAAATGGTGTTGGGAAAGCTGAACGACAACATGCAAAAAAAGTCAAACTGGACTACTTTCTCACATCCTATACAAAAATAAGCTCAAAATGGATTAAAGACTTAAATGTAAGACTTAAAACCATAAAACTCCTAGAAGAGAACATAGGCTCAGTTCACGCTCTCATGAACTGAGAAATAACCAGTATTGGCATATAACCTGTACTTTTTATCTGTGTGCGTAGATTACATTTTTAATGTACAGTTTTATAAAATATACCATATATACTGTTTAAAAAAAATAAAAAAGAGAACATAGGTAGTACACTCTTTGATGCTGGTCTCAGTAATATTGTTTTTGGATAGGTCTCCTCAGGCAAGGGTAACAAAACCAAAAATAAACAAACGGAACTACACCAAACTGAAAAGCTTTGGCACAGCAAAGGAAACTGTCAACAAAACAAAAAGGCAGTCTACTGAATGGGAGATTATATTTGCAAATGACATATCTGATAAGGGGTTAACACCCAAAATATACAAAGAACTCATACAACTCAACATCAGAAAAACGAACAAACAAACAAAAACCAACCTGATAAAAAATGGGTAGAGGAACTGAATGGACATTTTCCAAAGGAGACATACAAATGGCCAACCGGCACATGAAAACGATGCTCAGCGTCACTAATCATCAGGGAAATACAAATCAAAACCACATGAGCTATCACCTCACAGCTCAGAACGGTTATAATCAACAAGACAACAAGTAACAAGTATCGGTGAGGGTGTGAAGGAAAGGGAAGCCTTGTGCACTGTTGGTGGGAATGTAAGTTGGTGCAGCTACTGTGGAAAACATTATGGAGGTTCTTCAAATAATTAAAAATAAAACTACCACGGAATCCAACAATTCTACTCCTGGGTATTTATCTAAAGAAAACAAAAACACTAATTTGAAAAGATATATGCACCCCTATGCTTATTGCAGCATTATTCATAACAGCCAAGATATGGAAGCAACCTAAGTGCCCATCAATAGATGAATGGATAAAGAAGATGTGGTATATATATACATATAAAAAAGAATGAAATAAAAAAGAATGAAATCTTGCCATTTGTGACAACATGAATGGACCTAGAAGGTATTATACCAAGTGAAATAAGTCAGATAGCGAAAGACAAATACCATATGATTTCACTCACATGTGGAATCCAAAAAACAAATGAACAAACAGAGCAAAACAGAAACAGACTCATAGACACAGAGAACAAACAGGTGATTGCTAGAGGGGAGAGGGGCAGGGGGATGAGTGAAATAGGTGAGGGAGATGAAGAGGTACGAACTTCCAGTTTGCAAAATAAATGAGTCACTGGGATGAAATGTACAGCATAGGGAATATAGTCAATAATATTGTAATACCTTTGGTGATTTCGTAATGTATAGAAATATTGAAACGCTATGTTGTACTATTAGAACTAACATAGTGTTATAGGTCAATTATACTTCAATTAGAAACAAAAACAAAACAAAACAAAAACAACAGCACCTGCTGTTGTTTTCATCACTGGAAATGAAATGGTAATGATGGCTCAGTGATTAACACAGAGCTGACTGTGAGAGGGTCAGATGCACCAGACACCCTGTTGCAGGGGTGGGTGGGTATCATTCTGAGCCGCCTCTGGTAGCTCAGGGACAGGGTGGAGTCAGGCCTAGACCCCATGTGTCAGAATCAAAGTCCAGGGTGGCCCTGGTGAGATGCAGCCTGTGGAGGTGGGCATGGGACTCTCCTTCTAGCTAAGGGACTCCCATAATCTGGTTCGGGGGGAGCCCTGAGCAGACTGTTGGCCATTTTCTCTGATGGCCAGGAGACTGACCTGATGCAGGGATGCTGTGGCCCATGGGGTTCGTGGAAATTCTGCTCAGGGCCTGGCTGGGACTGGACCCTGACCACATGTCCAATGCACACTTGGCTCTTCTAGGAGCCAGAAGGGAACTTGGCTTCCCAATCTCTACAGATTGGGACTACATGGTGATTCAAACCTGCTGGGCTCTGGCCTTCTGGGGTCCAGGGCCCAGCTTAGGGAAGGATCCACAACCAAGTCTGTCTGGGCCTCAGACCTTTCTCAGAATGAGCCGGAGCTCCCCCTGCAGAGAGACACCATGTGCCCGTGCAGCCTGCCGACCGCCTGAGGAGGCCTTCCTGGCACCCTGAAGCTCCTCCGGGCCCAGGTTAAGCAGCCCTTCTTGGCCCCTGCCTGGCTGTCCCCCAACCCAGGGCGCCGTGCATGAAGGAGGCTTGCCAGCCTCAGAGCAGGGGTGCACGCAGCTTAGGATGGAGGCTTTTTGGTTCTGCTAATTGAGGAACCAAGAAATGTCCCCTGTGAAAGGAGAAGTGTGTCATGGCCCCCGGACATATAACCCTCCTCTGTCCCCAGCTGAGTGTCTATTCTCTGGAAAGCCGCAAATATTCCAAGACTGGACTTCTGCCGAATCACCTCAAATGCGTCGAACTCCATGGGTCTAGGGAAGGATGTGGGGGGAGGTGACAGGAGGCGGGGCAAGATCCCCAAAGAGGTTAAATAGGTCACCTCTGCACTTGTGCTCATCCTGGTCTCCCCTGAGCAAAGAGACCCACACACAGAGACCTTCTCCTGGGCTCCCGGTACCATGACCTCCCTGAAGATGCTGCTCCTGGCCGCGCTCCTCCTGGGGGCTTCCCTGCAGGACACCCATGCAGGTGAGAGCAGATCAGAGGCAGAAGGAGGAAGGGACACTGGGCAAGGAGGAGTGGGGGCCCTGAGACTACAGCAGCTGGCCACACACATTGTTCCTACACCCCACTTATTCCTACAAAGATGCGAGAGGCCGGCAGCAATAGGATTTTTTTTTTTTTTTTTTGCGGTACGCGGGCCTCTCACTGTTGTGGTCTCTCCCGTCGCGGAGCACAGGCTCCGGACGCGCAGGCTCAGCGGCCATGGCCCACAGGCCCAGCCGCTCTGCGGCATGTGGGATCTTCCCGGACCGCTGCACGAACCCGCGTCCCCTGCATCGGCAGCCGAACTCTCAACCACCGCGCCACCAGGGAAGCCCCAGCAAGAGGATTTTGGGGGAGGCATTCAAAGGAAAATGATGGAGATGAGGATGCGGATGCCCCAGGACTTGGGGCTCAGCTTCTGAGGAACAAAGTACTTGCATATCTCACACTGCAAACGTTGTGAGGCAGTGACTGTGGTTGTGTTTTGACAGTGGAAAAGGAAGAATTCTCACAAGTATTTGTTAGAGTCTATTTTAGTAATGGGTCTTATATACAATGAGAGGATCAGTATAAAGACAGGAGAACTGGTTCCCAGAGCAGGTGAAAAAAGAGATTTTTATACTCAGTTGGGAAAGGAAGACTGAGATAAGATTGCTACTTTAGAAATAAAGCTGGTTAGCGCCCTGTGTGGTGACATGGTGACACAACTGCAGTCTTCGGGGTTATCTTAATGGGGTGATCTTCATAGTTGGCTGCATGTTCACTCTCACTTCATAAAACGCTGGGCCTGGTCAGCTCCGTGTTAGTCAAACCAAGTTCCACCCCCGAAGTGGTCAGAGGACAGTCAGAGCCTTCCTAGAAAACACTCTGTCGCGGCCTTAATTGTGGTCACAGATTACCAGCTTGCCAGTTAGCAAGTGTTGGATATTTTTTCTTGTGCAAAGATGAGGACACTGAGTCCCAGGAAAGTATGTTCACACCCCGGACCTCCACTTTCTCATCTGTAGAATGGGGTAGTGACAGCACCTGTCTCCAGGTGTGCTTGAGGGCTGAAGGGGCAGCGGTAGCAAAGGCACAGCCCAGAGCCTGGCCCAGAGTCAACATTTGGTGATTCGGGGCTGGTCTGAGTGTGAGCACACACGGATGCACACACATGCAGACACACACATATATGCACAGACTCCCCAAACACATGCAGATACACACATACACACACAGAGATCTCACACACACAAATATGCACACATACAGACACACACTCACAGGCACACACACAGACATGCATACACAAACCCTCCCAAACATACACAGACACGTGAACAGACAGACACACAAGCTCAAAGGGCCCCCCAAAGCACACACAGGACCTCATGCACACAATCATGCATGCACTGACACACACAGACACACACAGACACATGTGCAGACCCCTCACATACGCCCTACACAGAAATACAATTACAGACCCTTCCCAACCACACAGACACACACATGCAGAAATACACACACACACACACGGATCCACCCCGATACCACAGACACACACAGGCACACCAACACACATGCAGATATGCACACACAGACTCGGCTCCAGACACACACGCGCGCACACACACACACGTGCAGACCCTCACAGAGCCTCCGCCACAACCACAGCCATAGCCATGCACACGCCCTCCCCACGCAGACAGCCGCAGACACACCTGCTGCTGCTTTGTTTCCCCCGCAGCTCGAGCAACCAATGTGGGCCCGGAGTGCTGCCGGAAGTACTTCAAAGGAGCCATTCCTTTCAGGAAGCTGGTGAGGTGGTACCGGACCCCAGAGGACTGTAGCAGGGATGCCATCGTGTGAGTCTGCCTGTCCCCACCCTGCCCCTGTCCTGGGAGCTGAGTGTGGGAGAAGGCAGAGCCTGGAGCTCCCAGAAGGGCCACTGGGGAGCGGAGAGGAGAGAGCAGGGCCTTCGTCCCTTGACCCCCTGGTCCCGCTCCTCAGGGCAGCCCCTGTACCCGACACTGCGAGCCCCCAAAGGGCCCCAGGCTGTGAGGTCTAAGCTCTTCATTGATTTATGGGGAAACTGAGGCCCTGAGAGAGATGGGACAGCCCCATATCACACGGGCAGTCAGCGGCCCATGTGGTCACTTCGCAGGCCCTGGGCTTGAGCCCTGAGCACTGGGCCCCTCCCGGGCACCCCTCGTTCCCAGGCCTAGGTGGGTACAGGCGGTCTGAGGACGGGGGCGGGCAAAGTCGTGCGGCCCCGGCTCCCTGGGAGGGCCAGGCCTGGCAGGAACCCTGGGAGGGTCAGGAATCACCGAGGACAGAGCCGGGTGTCTCAGAGCTGCCGCTGATGCCCTGGGTGACTTCAGACAAGTTTCTGCCCCTCTTGCGGGCTCAGGGTCCTCATCAGTGCAGGGCGAGGCTGGTCCCGGGGCTCTGGAAGGCCTTCCTGCCCTGAGCGCCCGCGTGGTTTTCTCCCTCTGTGTAGGCTGGTGACGCTCCACGGCAGATCCATCTGTTCAGACCCCAAGGACAGGTGGGTGAAGAAGGCAGTCAAGTACTTGCAAAACACCACGAAGTCATGTGACCTGGCCGCCCAGCCGGCCTGACTTCTCCCTGGCCCATCTGGAGTCTTCCCGCCTCCACGTTCACTACCCCAACCCCGAGCTCCCTGGGTCCAGTGGAGGCCTTACAAGGACAAAGAGGCCGCTGTTCCCTTCTCTGATTAAAGTTTTTCTCCCCCAGTCTGGGTCAGTGTGTTCTGTCCACTCTGGCCTGTCGCCCTGGAAGGGCCCGCAGAGAACATCTAGTCTCACTCTGTCCAGGTCGGAGAGGGAAAATGAGGCTTCGAGTGTGCAGACCACCTTAAAGAGGGGAGGCCTGGGCAGGGGTAGGGCTGAGGGGGGTCTGTGGGGCGAGCAGGGCAGGGGTGACAAGAGGCCAGCAGGTTCTCCCCTCTGCTGCACGCAGGCAGGAGGGGGACCTGGGAAGGGCCGTCTGGATTCTCTCCCATCTTATCTGCCCATGGAGCCCTCCCAGGCCTGCCCCATTCTCCTCCGTGACACCCCAGCTGATGCGGAGCTGAGGACACGCTTCGCCTTACGCATTTGATCCAATTCCACAAATGGTTCTAGAATTCTTCCGCAGGCCAGGGTTCTGTCGAGTGCTGGGGAGCTCCCTGGCCCGGGGGCTCCCACAGCCCCTTCCCCATCTCACCCACCTCCCAGCCCCCACCCACCCTCGAGCCCAGCCAGCCCCGCCCGGACAGTCTTTGCAAGACCAGGTCCACCTGCGCCCAGCTCTTCCGGCTCCAACCCCAGTCCGGCTCCCAGGGCCGAGCTGCTCCACCTCATCCCGAGGCTCACCCCACAGCCCGCTCATCCCCGCTGCCCCCAGCCCTCGCCTCCCGCCCCAGCCTGGCCCCGTGGTTCCTGCCGACCTGAATTGTGAGCCCTGCCCTACCAGGTGACATCTCACCCAGCCTCAGCCCAAGCCAGCCTCCAGGAAGCTGTCCCTGAGAACAGCTACCCCCATTCTCTCTCTTGCTCTGATTCCTCCCGCTTTCAGGGACTCTGGGGCAGCCCGAGGGGGTTGTTCTCCTGTCGACTCCTGTGTGGGTCTGTAGTCCTGACTCGTCCGTTAGGCTGGGAGCTCAGTGAGTCTCACTGGGGACCCCATAGTGCTCAGAAGGATGTGGACCAGGACCCATCCGCAGACCCCTCTGTCGAGGCGCAGCTCAGGACTGGAGCCGTGGGGGGCTGGGGGAAGTTAGGGTCTTCGGATTCTAGTTCTGCCTCACCCTCCTGACCAGCTGTAGGCTGTGGCTTCTCTCTCTGGGACTAAGTCTGGGAGCAGGCGCAATGGGTCCTTCTCTCCTAGGATTCTGTGACCTGTGTTGTTTGGCGGGGCTGCAATTGAGTTATTTTCAGGTAAAGCTTATGCCTTCTGCTGCCCCCCTGTGGCCAGTTGTCTTATTGCAGGGCAGATGTCAGAGCCAAGCCCACTTTCGAAGAGGCACAAGAAGAAAACAGCAGCAGTACTGCTACTACTACTAATAAGGCTGATGATGGTGATGAACTGTGAACTTCTCTGTGACCCCAGGGTCTCCTCAGCCACAGGTGGGCTCTTTCCCTGCCCTGGTCCCAAGGAGTATCCCTTGAACAGCTGCCTTGGATCCAGAGTCCTTGGGGCAGCCTAGTCTGAATTCTTTGCGGAAAAATGTCATCTGGATACACGGGGTGAGGGGTGAGAAAAAGGTGATCTCAGAATAGGGGGAGGCAAGGGGGAGCCCCTGGGACAGCAAAGGAGAACAAGGGCTGGGGCCCAGATCCCTCGCCCTGCCAGAAAGACACTCAGAGAACATGCATGTAATCCAGTGCATTGAAAACTTGCCTTAAAAGAATCAAAACCTTTTTTTCCTAGTGAAATATGAAAGCGAAATATTCCTCAGAGGCCCATATTGTGAACTCGGATAAGTGGAGGACGATGAGGAGGTAAGGGGTTACCCGGGGGGAGGCCCCGAGAGTGACCGAGCAGGGGGTTGGCTTAAAGGTCCCTCAGAGGGGGAGAGGTGGAGTCAGGACTGGCAACAAAATGCAGGATTCAGAATCCAAGTGTCTACTAGCAGAGTCAGGGTGCAATGTGGGTGGGGCAAGATGCAGGAGATGGGACCAGCTACCATGTTCCCCTGGGAAGAAGCCATTTTAAGGACTCGTGACTGGGAGACTCCCGATGACAGGCTAGTAGGGAGATAGGAAGAAAGAGGACAGGGCAGGAACCAGAGAACACAGAACGGTAGGGAGGGGCGCTGGTCTCTCATTGTTCCTTCCGTCTGAAAAGAGCTTCGCCTCCTCCACATCTGAAATCCAGTCCCCCTTCAGAGCTCAGCTCAAATGCTGCCTCCCTCAAGAAGCCCTCCCTGGTCTCCTTGGTTGCAGTTGATGCCCCACTCTGTGTCCTCCATAAGCTCCCTGCTCTCACCTCAGCTTTACCACATTGTCCCCGGTAAATGTAGTTACTTGCATGTTTGACTCGATGATGAACTCCTTGGGGCAGGTATTTGAATCAGGCAACTCGGTACTTACTGACTCATTTATAAGGGGGGAAAAGTGCTTTGTGCATAGTGGAAATTTGATATATATATTTTCATCAACAAGCCCCTGGGTGAATCCCATGACGGGCACGTCAAGAAAGAAGCTCCCAGAGGAGCGGTGCCCTGATAACATAACTGGGCTTCAAGCCCGGCATTGAAGTGGAATTTTGAATTGCGCTGCTCTTCGGTTTCCCACCAGAGGGCGCTCCAGCTCCCAATAAAGATTGAGCCTGATTGATGTCCCTGACCACCAGGTCCCTGGCCTCAGTGCTGGCCCCAGGGGCTGGGGTCACCTACATCCGACTGTAGCTGCTCAGGGCCTAGGGTCAGAGTGTCTGCGGTTGGCCAGCCCTTCTCCTAAGGGAGCAGAGGCAAGGAAACCACCAACGACGCTGCCAGGGGTTAGCGAGATGAAGAGGAAGAAGGAAAACCACTGCTGGGAATTGCAGGGCCACTAATTCCAGATGCAACGTGGGCAGTGCTGAGAGCAGTGCGCCAGGGGTGTTCTCACCGTGTCTTCTTAGATTCTGTATTTGTCTACTTGGCATCCATTCATCACAAGTTACACCTCCCCTGTGATCCAGCTTTCGAAGGCATGCAAAAATCATATTGCAAACTCTCCAACCAATCCTGAATCCCCCAACCACTTCCTTTATATAACTCACTCCCCAAATGAATATTTCCCCAAATCACCCAGGGCCGGGTACCAGACAATGAGGGACAGCGCCCACGCCCCAAAGCCCGCTGGAATGACTCCCACAGGCCAGTCCTCAATTGCTGACCCTGCCCTGCCTTGCTTTTTCTACAGAAACCCAATAAGGGTTGTGGCCTCGGCTTTCCCCTCGCGTCTCCTTCTGCCCTGCGTGGTGTGGCATGGCCCCTTCTCTTGGGAAATGTAAGTAATAAATTCTTCTTTAGTGGCATTCAGTCACCTACATACATTTAAATCCCATGGGTTCATTTTATTTATTTATTTTTATTGACATACAGTTGATTTACAATGTTGAGTTAATTTCTGCTGTACAGCAAAGTGACTCAGTTATACATATACATACACTCTTTTTTATATTCTTTTCCATTATGGTTTATCCCAGGACATTGAATATAGTTCCCTGTGGTATACAGCAGGACCTTGTTGTCCATCCATTCTTTATGTAATAGTTTGCATCTACTAACCCCAAGCTCGCAATCCATCCCTCCCCCATGCCCCCTCTCCCTTGACAACCACAAGTCTGTTCTCTATGCCTGTTTCTGCTTCGTAGATAGGTTCATTTTTGTCATATTTTAGATTCCACATATAAGTGATATGTGGTATTTGTCTGGCTTACTTCACTTAGTATGATAATCTCTAGTTGCATCCATGTTGCTGCAAATGGCCTTATTTCATATTTTTTTAAATTAATTAATTTATTTAATTTTGGCTGTTTTGGGTCTTTGTTGCGCGCACGGGCTTCCTCTAGTTGCGGCAAGCAGAGGCTACTCTTCGTTGTGGTGCGTGGGCTCCTCATTGCGGTGGCTTCTCTTGTTGTGGAGCACAGTCTCTAGGTGCACAGGCTTCAATAGATGTGGCATGCGGGCTCAGTAGTTGTGGCTCATGGGCTCTAGAGCACAGGCTCAGTAGTTGTGACGCACAGGCTTAGTTGCTCCGTGGCATGTGGGATCTTCCCGGACCAGGGCTCGAACCCGTGTCCCCTGCAGTGGCAGGCGGATTCTTAACCACTGCACCACCAGGGAAACCCCTTATTTCATTCTTTTTTGTGGCTGAGTAGTATTCCATTGTATATATGTACCACATCTTCTTTACCCATTCATCTATCGATGGACATTTAGGTTGTTTCCATGTCTTAGCTATTGTAAATAGTGCTGCTATGAATATAGGGGTGCATGTACCTTTCTGAATTATAGTTTTTTCCAGATACATGCCCACGAGTAGGATTGCTGGATCATACGGTAATTCTATTTTCAGTTTTCTGAGGAGCCTCCATACTGTTTTCCATAGTGGCTGCATCATGGGTACATTTTAACAGAAGAGGGTCAGGGACCTGTTCTGTCTCGGCTTTGCCACTGACTGGTTGTGGGGTTTTTTTGGGGTTTTTTTGCGGTACACGGGCCTCTCACTGTTGGGGCGTCTCCCGTTGCAGAGCACAGGCTCCGGACGTGCAGGCTCAGCGGCCATGGCTCACGGGCCTAGCCGCGCCGCGGCATGTGGGATCTTCCCGGACCGCGGCTTGAACCTGTGTCCCCTGCATTGGCAGGCGGACTCTCAACCACAGCGCCACCAGGGAAGCCCTGGCTGTGGGTTTTTGACACGATCGCTTCACCTTCCTGGGCCTGTTTCTCCATGGAATGATGAAATCGAACCCTTCTCTAACCTGCTTTAAGGTGTAGCCAGTTAGAGAATGGGGCTTAGTCTGCTGCCGTCCTGCCTCTCACATTGCCCTTAGGGGAGCAGAGTCTTCGAAAACCTGCAGTTTCCCCATAATTGAATTGCCATGACCCCTTCTCCAAAACCACCACGCACACTGCAGGGATGAGACACTCAGACAAGCAAAGGGGCTGGGGCCTTGTTGAGAAGTAAGCCTTAAAAGGACGTGTTCAGCACATGGACACACCCGTTTATAGCAGTGCTATTCACCAAAGCCAAAGGTGG